TTCCTTGGGAAAGTTGTAGCTTTTCTTTGTCCTCCATTCATAGGCCCAGATCCAAACCAAGAGCTCAGAGTCAGTGTCCACCTGAATGAGGCATTTTTAATCTCTGCTTCCCCTATGTATTGTACCTACTGCTGGAGGAAAAGACTATAACAGACGTGAAGTTTCAATACTGCCTTCTCTTTTTCACATCTGATATTTCATCACTGGTTCCATAGATGTTTATCTTTTTTTAAAGGATTCCTTTTCTTTAAAAAAATTTTTCCTTTCCAAACTTTCTCTATAATTGGTATTTGTTTAATGTACAGAGCTATTTCAAAGAGTGAACTGATCTGTCTTCTTTTTCATTAAAAACAAAACAAATAATTTAAAGCTTAAAATAAGACTTAAGAGATTCTTTTCCAATCATTTGAAAGAAATTGTTTTCTCAAAGTTTTTAAATGTATAACTATAGGTTAGTCTCCATTCTAAAATCTTCCATGAGAGTGATGTTTCAAAAATTATTTTCCTATAACTGTAGAAATTATGTTTAACCTGCCAGTTGCAAGTCAAGATTTTTAAAGTTTAAAATGACACAATTAGGGGTGCTTGGGTGGCTCAGTCAGTTAAGTATCAGACTGTTGATCTCAGCTTAGGTCTTAATCTCATGGTCATGAGTTCAAGCCCTGTGTTGGGCTCTGTATTGGGTTCTGCGTTGGGCTTCATGTTGGACTGAGCATGAAGCCTACTTAACAAAAAAATAAATAAATAAAATAAATTAATTAAAAGAAAAATATTAAAAAATGTTAAAGAAAATTTAAAATGATAGTTATAACTTTTAGAGAGTTTTTTGTCTTTTGATGACATACTAGCAAAAGCATAATTGCAAATAATATTGCTTAATAGAGATATTTATTTTATTTAGAGAGCGAATAAAACTTGAATGAATGAATAAAACTTATTCATGGTTTTATTTTGTAAAAATAACTTGGAAGGGTGCCTGGGTGGCTCATTCAGTTAAGCATCCGACTTCGGCTGAGGTCATTATCTCACAGTTCGTGGGTTCAAGCCCTGCTTCGGGCTCTGTGCTGACAGCCAGCTCAGAGCCTGGAGCCTGCTTCGGATTCTGTGTCTCCCTCTCTCTCTCTCAGAAATAAATAAAACATTAAAAAAATTAAATGAAAATAAAACTTGGGGATTGAACGACTAATCAGAGTCATAATTTGGCTAATCTCTTCAGTAGAAAGTAGTGTCACACCAAACCTTGTCAAAAGATAAAATTTTGAAAGTGCATTAAAAATAATGTAGTAATAATTTTGCATGAATATTTTGATCACAGGTAAATCTATTTTAAATTAGTAAGAAACATCTACTCAAATGTGTAGTACTACTTCTAGTATGAGTTTTTACAATGCTGTAAAAATACTCATTTCTATGAATCATCTTTTTCAGATATTTGTCATAAGGGTATTTATTTATTCATTCCTGTCTAATGTGTTTAGAGAATACTATGTACATACTTTTTAAATAAAAAGTTGCCAACTCTATCTTTTTTTTGTTTTTACTTTTTTTGTTTTGTTTTTACAAATAGTTTATTGTCAAGTTCGTTTCCATATAACACCCAGTGCTCATCACCAAAAGTGCCCTCCGCCAACTCTTTTAAAAGGTGATAATGTTGGAATTAAACATAGTAAAAAGATACCATTTTATGCCCTAAAAGACAGTCAAAATACATCCCTATGTTAGAATAAAGATGCAGTTAAGTGATTTTAGCTCTTTTTCAGTCTTTAGCAGTTAGCTAGCTCTGATTTTACATCCCTTAACTTTCAAATTCATTTAATTAATTTGGCAAGTTTATAATTAAAAGTATTCTAAGCCATTTTTTAGTAGTCTTTAGCTTAGTGCTTTAATCTACAATTATACCTAAGAAAATCTTGTCATAAACTGGATACAAAGAAACTAAGCTGACCAACTTTACATGAATTGTATGTAAAAAGAACACAGGCTCTGGAGTCAGAGACCTGAATGTATATTCTGGCTTCACTTAATGCCTCTGTGACCTTAATGACACCTAAAGTCTCAGTTTTATCATCTGTGAAATGCTGGAAATAGCACATACTTCCTAGGTTTGTTGGAGAATAAAATGAGGTAATATAAAATCATCAGCCCGATGCTTATCCCATTTCAGGGACTCTCAGTGGTGATTATATCAGATATGAGAGTTCTAGATTATGTATTTGATTTCTTGGAACCAAAGTATCTAAGCAAATTGTCTTTAAAATATATGCATTTTAATCAATATCCTTTTTTTTTTTTTTTTTTTTTTTTTGTGAGTACTTACTGTGAGTAAATACTGTGAGGCCTGAGTCCAGTTTGGAAGTGCAAACAGGAGCTTGAATTCTAAGCTGGTGAGGAAGAACATTGATTATTAGAAAGTTTCCCTAATTTCCAGTAAACAGGCAGATGGAATTTAGTCAGGAGAATAATAACCAAGAACTATAAAATAATTAGACATTAAAAAAGCTGTTATCTCTTTTTCTTTCTATTGCTCTCTGTCTGACCCACATTTCTCCCTGTGGGTAAGCTTCTTTCATCAATCTCCTCAGATTTCAAATTTCTTTGTTCAAGTTGCTTATGGCAGCCCGGTGACTACCATGTTAGAGTTTTTCAGTGAGGAGTAACAACTCTGCAGTTCTTGGAGACAGATTCCCATTGACCCGGTTTTGGTTGACTGTCTACCTACTTCAGTTGGTTGTGGAATTTGGCAGGATCGTGGAGTCAGCTGCTTATTTGGAAGAAACTGAGAACATCCAGGGATCTAATTAAGGATGTAGTCTCTACAGGCAGGAATGAGTTAGGTTTTAGCTACTAACAAATATTCCAAGGAAGGGGAAATATATTATTCAGAGAAAAGGAACTAAACCTCCCCCCCCCCAAAATACAAAACTAGAGTATAGGCTGATTGAAATAAGATCAACCATGCCGCATCCTACTTCATCTAAATTTCCACACATCAGAATATCTTATTATAATGCAGTGACAAAAAGAGAAATATTTATGAGTGTTGAAGAAACTGTTAAATGAGTCTAAGAATTCCCTAGCAAAGTCTTTTGGTGTCTTAATAATATGTTATAATTGTTTAAAACCTTCTTTAGACACCTTTATAAATGATTTTTTTTTTTTTTTTTTTTGGTAAACTCATTTGCTTCAGTCACCTTGCTGATGTGAACAAAGACAAAACATTTGGCTTCACTCTACTATAGTGGTACAGATTGTTCCTTGAACCACAGCCAAATAGAAACTATTGGTTTGAAAGATGGGCAGGTGAGACTGTGTGTATGTATTTTTCGATATGTATGTAAATGTTTATACAACAATATTGAGGAAGGATTTTTGGTAGCTCATTCAATATTACATTAGAAAACATTACTTTACTATAAAATATTTCAAATAGCATGTCCTACTGAAAGTGGATAAAGGACATCACTCTACACACACACACACACACACACACACACACACACACACACAAATCAATAGTATTATCTGGAATTTAGATCTAGGAAAAAAGAAGTGACATCCAAGGACAAAGGATAAGTCAGACAGAAGTAGGAACATAATTTGGATTCTTAGCACCAACTAATTCTATAGTGAGAAGAGTGAAATTTAAAACATGGCACCCAATTCAGAGAGAAGAACTTATCTAAATTAAAAGAAAAAACATTTCTCAGACTGTGCCAATCGGGGAAGTTAATAATATATGATTTACGTGCCGAAAATTATTTATTTTCTTGAGCAAAATTACCTTTAGTGTAGTTTAGATCAACTAGTAATTGAATGTCTACTATGTATTAGATTCCATACTAAGTAAGTTTTGAGGAAAAAGAATAAAAGTTACAGTGCCTTCCTCTAAGGATTTTAAATGGGGATATTAGATGAGAAAGATATAAGTACACAATTATTAATTCACTGTTACTTTCAGAATGATAGAAGCATGTATACAGTACCAAAAAAATATATAGGTGTGCCTGGGTAGCTCAGTTAATTGTCTGATTTTTGGTTTTGGCTCAGGTCATGATTTTGAAGTTTGTATAATCAGACCCCACATCAGGCTCTGCTCTAACAATGTAGGGCCTGCTTAGGATTCTCTCTCTCCCTTTCACTCTGCCCCTCCCCTGCTCATACTCTTTCTCTTTCAAAATAAACAAATAAACATTTTTTAAAATATGAAGAAAATTATTTTGAAACTATCAGTGTGTAACCGCAGTGTGACTCACTAATCCTATAGATTCCAGACTAATACTAATACAGCCTGGAGATTCACCATGAATCCTAATGGTGCTTTGTGAAAAGAATTGATGATTTCTTTTCTATGGGGGTTTAAAACTTTAGGTCAAATGCTTGAGGTGTTAAATATTAAATAAGAAGTCATCCAATGGGTAATGAACATTGTTTTCCTTTTTGTTTTATATAGTAAGGCCTTCCCATGTGTCTGAAATAAAGTTTGAAAGACAATTACCTACTTCATGCCTTGTACACCTTGTTCAGGGAATTGGTTCCCTTTCAACTTGGGACTCCTGTTTGTGTCAGATCTCAAACAAAGTTCCTGGCTTTCTTGTACCTGTTTTTCATTATAGATCCAGTTTATTCTTGCCTATGACTTTGTATGGTTTTCTTCTTATAACCTTATTAAGTTCTAGCTCTATTTGAAGGCTATCCCTCATTTGCGTGCTCAAATTTGGCATGATTGATATTGCCTTTATTTTGCCTTGATGACCTAAGCACTCCCTAAATTATGTATAATTTGTGACATATAATTTTTCATGACTTGTTTATCTGGCCCAGATTTTGTCCCTTTCCCCTTGCAGCTTGCTATAAAAATTTTGGGATTATATTAAGGACATATAATAGTTTTCCTGTAATGCTCAAAATCTGATTTTTATTTGGTTATTACATCAAGGTTTTACAACTTTTAAGGAAAGGCTATATTATTTTTATTCTCACTGTATCTGCAGATTCCATCAGACCTGCTCCCTTCCTTCTCCCAGTGCCCATGTGAATCATCTTGGGTAAGTCTGTGATTCGAAGCTTAACTTGAACATGCTCAGAAAACACTTCCAACAGTAGTGCAAGTGAATGGTTTGGTAGACTGTGGAAGCCATAGGAGAGGCTCCTTAGCACCAGGCTCTCTTCTCATTGCATTGTTGTTGTCTGTGCTTAGATATTTGACTTTAACAATTGACAACCTCATTGTGATTACATACATTAGTAATATTTTATTGACATTCCCATTGAGGGCACATGGACACAGGACAAAGATATGGATAGATGAGAGGCAGTGTTAGAGAGAACTGAATGGAAGGATTCTAATGATACCGTATACACCAATTATTGAGACTAGCAATTAGGAGATCTCTGTCCTAATTTTAGATTTGCCTCCGACTATACCTGGCAAATCATTGAACCCATGTTTTCAAGATTTTCTTTTGAAAATCAAAGAAATTAGGTTTGATACTTTAAGCTGACTTTGCTTACCCTGTGCAAATTTTGGCATGGGTGTTAGAGCTTCATTCTTTGCTCTAGGTTATTTTAATTAAAAATAAAAAGATTCTTTTTTTAATGTTTATTCATTTTTTGTTTTTTTTTTGCTCATTTCAAATTTTTATTTAAATTCTCGTTAGTCAATATCATGTAATCAATACATGTAATAGTTGTTTCAGGAGAACAATTTAGTGTTTCATCACTTAACATAAGACATTCAAATGATTTTTAAAAGGAATCTGTCGTATCAGAGTATAGTCCACTGGAATGTTACTCATTTTTGAGAGAAAGTGATAGAGTACAAGCAGAGGAAGGGCAGAGACAGAGGAGACAGAATCTGAAATAGGCTCCAGGGTCTGAGCTATTAGCATAGCCTAGTGCAGGTCTAGAACTCAAGAGCTTTGAGATCATGACCTGAGTTGAAGTTGGACGCTTACCCAACTGAGCCACCCAGGCACCCCCAAAATAAAAATATTGTTTTAAACATTCCACTGAAATTATAGCAAGTTATAAATTATAAAATGGAAAAAGTAAGGTACAGAACATCAAATATATTGTAAAAACTTCTGAGGTGTGAGGGTTACTTATACCTAAATATCCTTTTTACTATAGGGTATTAGTAAGAAACATAGAGGGCAAAACACAGAATGGGTAATTGTATATATTAGTGGTATTGAGCACCCTGAATTCTTGTATTTCATATTCTTGCCATATTCTTCTAATTTTTAGTTTTTCAGTTCTCTCTCAATTCTGAACTCCTTCTATTCTTAAAGTCAATAATTTATAAACCATATATAACAAGGCATAAATTTATGATAGAACTTGAATTTCTCATTCCTTTCAAGAACACATGTGTTTAAGCAGGGTGAGGGCATTAAGCCAAATGACTGGCATCATATGTAGAAATATCAGGAATCAGCCCATGGTTAAAAAGTTGTCTTTTCTTTCTCTTTTGAACAGCAGAACCTTCCAGTGCACCTGAGATCAAGCACTGGCAATTAATTGTTTCATGCTAAGACAATGCTGTTCTTAAATTCATTATTTATTCTCTTATATTTCAGAAAAATTTATATGTGAATTATTCATAGCACAAAATCTGCTTAAATGTTGCATTTTCCATGTCATAGTTACACAGACATTTTAAAAAAATAGGGCAAAACACAAAATGCATAAAAATTCAAGTAAACTGAATTTGATTTTACCTATGCTATCTGAACCTAAGACATAGTAGACAAATCACTTTTTGGGGGGTACTTTTATGCATTTGTATGCTAAAGGGGAGGGAAGAAATATTACTTTAAATCTAGAGAATTTGAATATATTATACTGTGGAGCAGAGAGTGTTGGTCTGCTTCGAAAACCATGTCATATTTGCAGTTTTCAAAGGTGATATGTACATCTGGGTCTGAGGAAACGGTCTTGTTGAGATGGTGTAATTATGGGCCAGAGAGAAAGTGATAGAGAATAACAGAGCAATGGAGTCTGTCCATTTTTAATCCCTTCATTGTGGATTTATTGGTCTTAGTTTCTATGGCTTGGAAGAATTAATTTTATTGGTATTCCCTGTTAACATTTTCCTTTTTATTTCTAGAGTATTAGAAACACAACACCTCAAGATAACAGTTTGCAAATATGGTGTTAAAAAGCATACAGGACTTGGGGCGCCTGGGTGGCTCAGTAGGTTAAGTGTCCGACTTCGTCTCAGGTCATGATATCATGGTTTGCGGGTTTGAGCCCCACGTTGGGCACTGTGGTGACAGCCAGCTCAGAGCCTGGAGCCTGTTTTGGAATCTATGTCTCCCTCTCTCTCTGCCCCTCCTCCACGCATGCTCTGTCTCTCTCTGTCTCAAAAATAAATGTATAAAAAAAAATTAAAAAGCATATAGAACTTAATTCGATTTACCTTTGAGATTTATTACCTTGAAAAAGGCATAGGAGAGGAATTCAAGAACTTCATTGTACAACAAATTAGTGAGACTGAGAGCTGAGATGTTAGAATATAAATTAATTGATTAATATGTAATCTCGTTATAAACAAACATGATGCTCATCTATGTTCATCTCCATTAAGGGTAGGTAATTTCTGTTTGAGAACTATGCCTATAAATTAAACATACAGTATAAGCATTATTCTGTCTTTTCACACGAATACATATGAATACATGTTGCTCTCACTATTTAAAAAAAATACTTCACTTATAAAGGCTGAACTGAGGCTCTAATGGGCAGCCAAATTAAACTCACATCACAACACAAAATGATCTTCCTATCCATTCATAACTATAATGCCAATATCATTACTCATTGTATATAGTGTGGACTTGTAAGTTAGCTTACAAGAAGGCTGAATTTAATGACGTTTATGTCGGCTTATATGTGGTTTGTATATTTCATTTAAAAATGTATAAGCTTGCTATTATTCCATACTCAAAATCTTAGACATAATTCACAAGAGTTAAAACTTAAAATGATGTGTGCAAAGAGCAATGCAGAGGGGTTTTAAGGTTTTCTTGTTTTTCAATTAGATTGAAGCTAAAGCTTTTTGTCTATACTTTACCTGGTGCTGTATTGTTATTTTTAAAGCATCACTGGAATTTATTCCATTTGAAAATATGAAGACTTTCTGCTAGAATTTGAAACCATTGAAAGTAGCAAAGACCATCCAGAAAAATTCTGTTTCTACTGCTGGACTGCTACTTTACTTAGAGACTCTTAATTTGAAGTAATTATAACACAGTGTGAAAACTATTACATTTATAAAACATCAAGCCTGATTCCTTTGTAAAAAGTCTCACTAGTCTGAGATTTTAAATATAAATTATTCAATAGCTAGTTCTTTTTTAATGCTTTTTAAGTGGTTATTTTGATGGTTTTAAAATGAAAAAGTCCCAGGGAACTGCAGCTTCCAGCTAAGAAGGAGTGGAGTAACAGGATTTACACTTTTGCTGGAAAACAAAACAACTCTCTCTACAAGTATATTTCACTTATTGGAAACCAGATAGCACAGGACCGTGATCTCATCCTAATCTCTCTTGCTTCCCTCTCACTCTGATTTTATCCTAAATTTTGAAGCAGAAAAACTAATTCTACAAGCACCTACTTCATCTGCCAGTCTTCCATGGCTGACAGGGCTCATAAGAATATATAAGAAGTACAAGAGTAAGGAATTATTGAGAAAATAACATTAATTATTGAAATACTATTCTGCTCAGGCAAGTAAGATGAAGGTGTCAGATACAGGTTTGGATGCTAGCTGGGGGCTCTAGGCTCTGACAAGATCATATGGTCAAATGATTATTTGGGAGCTTTTCCTGATCTTTCTCTCATTCAATACCCATTCTAAGTTATTCTTTGTTCTAAACCTGTCATCTCCTGTTAGTCTCCTTGAAAGTGTCAATAGAAAGCAAATTTACTTATGGTTTGATAACGATATTTTATTTTGGTAACTGTGACCAGGATACCCAAGCAGTAAAAAAGTAGAGGTAAATGCACTATTCTTAGTATAGTTGGCCAAAGTCTGAGTGAACTACTACAGTTGCCTAAGGGTACTTAATAAAGAGCTGTTACAAATTAGAGCTAATTATCATCATTTACATTTTTGTAGATAATAATAAAGGACAAAAAGAATACAATTAATGATATTTTCATCCCTTTTATGGAATGTGACTTCTGGAAGATTAGGTAAATACAAAAGTGGCCAAAGAAGAGGATTTTATTTTCGGAAACTTGGTTTATGATTTCAGAATTATTTGATCCTAGAAATGACAAAGAATTGATAACTCGATTAAAAAAAGCCCTAAATTTAATGGGGTAGTTAAGGTGATATGGTCATTTCCAAATGTTAATACAATTGCAGTCAATAATACATTTTAAAAACAAAATTTAAAAAATTTTTATTTATTTAATTTACTTAAAAGTAAAATTTGTTGAAAGATAAATTTATTTTAAAAGAAAATCCAAGAGATTTCAACTAAGAACAGGAAAAGTATCTGTGGGTACAAACCAGGCTTTTTGATGTGCTCAGATTTTAAATATAAATTTATAAATGATGTAAGAAATGTTACATAACCATAATGAAATAGAAATACTCCACAAGAATAGAGTTGAAAGTTACAGACCTTAAAGAAGATGTTAATGAATGCTTAAGGCTATTTTCACAACAAGAACAAGAAAGAATTTCTATTTGGAATAAGTGATATAAAATAAAGAAGTAGAGAAAAAGAGACCAAGAAAACACAAAATTACTACTTTTTTTTTAAGCAGTTTGCTTTCCTGGTAGGAAATGTGTATAGATTTTAGGGTATTTACATTGGAGAACACCAAGAAATACTAGTTATTGAAGATAAAATGTAACATTCCTGTTGGTAATCTTTTAGATATAACATTGTACAATATACTAAAAGATTGAATATTCACAAATGTTGCAGTTGTTTAAAAAAAAAAGAAAAAAGTAAACTGAAACCAAGAGTTCAGTCCTTGACATTACCTGTGAACAAGTTATTAAAACTAATTCCTTTTCAATTATTTA